ACCAGTCGATCGTGTTCAGCGTCGAATCCCACTTTGGTCTCGTTGCGCAGGAGTTTTTGCATCACGCCCTCAGTCCGTCGCTGCCTCTCGCACTGATTCTCTTGAGTTGCTGATATCGAACACCAGGACTCCTCGGGAAGCCTCACGCGCACGTTCATAGAAGTCCAAGAGCGTGGCCAAATGAACGCCGTCACAACTCAGTGATCCGCTTCCAAGGCCTCCGATACAAAGGGCCCACGAATTGCGGGAAGTGCATGTCATCAAATTATCATAGATCAGATCCAATTTCAGTGGGGGGGGTGTCAAGACAGTCGTTTCTTCTTGATCGGTTTTTCCTGATGTTGTTCTCCGTCATCTGGATTCGTCCAGAACGCTGCGTTCAATGGTTCCCGCGTGCTCAGTTTATTCAACGCACACGTATCAGCGGCGTCGCGGACAGAATCACCGATGTTGATCGGTTGATAATTGATGAGATCGTCCCTTCAGCAATTGTTTTAGTCCCTCGAGGGTCAAGACAGTGCATAATTATTTTCTGCACTAGAAGTGTCATTCAACAACACTTTCTCTCTTCTTCCCTCGACAATCTCGTACTCCAGGCGCTATACTCCTCAGCATCACTCATTCATGCTGTACTGTTGAAGACTCGGAGTTCTGTGTGCTCGTATCTTCTTTTTATCTCATTCTTGGGAGGTGGAAGTGGGCCATGCGGCGCCGTTCAAACAAAAGAATTCACATTATCATAGCCATGTTTGTATCTATCTAGATACATCGATTTCATTGAAACTTGAAACTGTCCTGAAGCAGTGGCTGTGTCCATTCATCGTGTACTTGCACGCTGACTTGACGTTCCTCACCGTCTTGTCACATCTCACTTCAAAATGTAGCACTATGTATATACGTGTGGTGCTCGACTCAGAACATCCTACAATGAAGGTGTGTTCTACTCTATCCTTACTAATAACGTGTTGAAACTGACCATTAAGCAAGGTTCTGCCGCCTACCCCGCACCTGAGTTCTGCCAACAACACTGGAGCTTGTTGGTCAATTCATTAAATGTCATCTGACTCTGATTTCCGGTAATTAAGATCCGATTGGAAATTCTTGAGGGACTAAAATAATTGCTGAAGGGACGATCTCATCATTTACCATCCCTTACGGTCTCGAGTCACAGTGAATTTCGTGACATACCAGTACACCGCCAAAAAATGTGACTCACGAAATGGTGGGCAATCACGAATAGACCGTAAGGGATGGTATCAATCGATCAACATCAATGATTCTGTCCGCGACGTCGTCGTGTACTTCAGAATAAGCTGAGCGCTCAGGAACCGTTGGACGCGGCATTCCAGAAGAATACAGATGGCGGAGAACATCAGGGAAACTAATCAAGGGGGCTCTGTTGCAGGTGGAAGTCGAGTGGAACAACGATGACCGCAGTTGACGAGGGTGTGCCGTGAAAGGATTGGAAAGAATAGAATGAGGACAAGCAAAACAGCACGCCAGTAAATTAATGTTGATCCATCGCGAATTCACCCTTGGCAGCACTTTCCCAGGTCTCACAGACCCGGTCTCTATGTTATGAGAAACTGGTCTGTGAGACCCACCCTCCTGCCAGCTAATAATAGTACGTACTCTCGCATTCTCCTGCGGGCCCTCAGAGGTCTCAGGGTGCACAGCTCCACCATTTTTCTGCAAGTCTTTGTCTTCTTGCAGGAGCACATATTGCAGTACCATATCTCTGTATTATACGAGTGAACGGACGTGCATAATATCCTGTATTATACGGGCCAGTGGACCATGGGCCGAAGGTAGATATATCCTCGACTATGACGGATGGGCCAGGAGTGTTATTATTCCCAATGGAGACGGGTGGGCCCATGTAGGGAATATGTAGAGTAGATGAGTGGGCTGATAGACATGAATATTCAATAGATGGATGGGCCAAGGTAGTTGGATATTATGTAGATGGGTTTACCAAGGTAGATGTGTATCAAATAGCCGGGTATGTCAAGGGTGCTTGTTATCACATAGACGGGTGGGCCCAGATATATATCATATTAGATGGGTGGGCCGATGAATTAAGATTATTTTGTAGACGGGTGGGCCGAGGGAGTGGTGAAATATTTATTATATATACAGGTGGGCTGAGGGAGCGGTAAAATATATATTATATATACGGGTGGGCCGAAGGTCGTCGTATATTGCATAGACGGGTAGGCCGACGTGGGGGTATATAATATAGACGGGTGGGCCGAGAGAGCAATTTATTAGATATTATATAGATGGGTGGGCCGAGGTAGTTGGATATCACATATACGGGTGGGCCCAGATACATATCATATAGACATATGGGCCAAGGTGGTAGTATATTATATAGATGTATGGGCCAAGGTAGTAGTATATTATATAGACAGGTGGGCTGAGATGGTTGATATCATATCCACGGGCCGGGTAACATCTATTGAGTTCCAGGTAACATCTATCGAGTTCTGGGTAACATCTATTGATGTCCAGGTAACTAATATCGACTTCCAGGTAACTAATATCGACTTCCAGGTATTTCATAAATTGAACAAATCACGAAGTACCAAGTACCGAGTTCCGGGCACTGAGTTCCAGGCATTGAGTTTAATTGTTATCATATACATGGATGGGCCCAGACACATCATGTCGACGGGTGGGCCAAGCCGAGGGTGTTGTATGATATACATGGGTGGGCCCAGATGTATATGATGTTGACGGGTGGGCTGAGGTTATTATATGATATAGACAGGTGGGACTATCAAGTGCCAAGTGCCAAGCTCCGACTACCGAAATTTTAGTTCCAGGACCCGGGACCCGGGTCTCGACACTCGAATATTTGATATCTAGCACCCTTCCAATTATCTGGTATTTCATTGACATACTAACATTGCAATGAATGATAATCCATCATAGAAAGGTCAGTTTCAACTACCAAAATTTGACTGAACCAAGCATCATGTACTGAGTTCTGGGACCCAGGTCTCAACACAAATATTTGATATCTAGCACCCTTCCAATGATCTGGTATTTCATTGACATACTAACATTGCAATGAACGATAATCCATCTTTGAAAGCTAAGTTCCAACGACCGAAATTTGAATGAACCAAGCATCATGTACCGAGTTCCGGGATCCGGGAGTCCCGGGTCCCGACACTCAAATATTTGATATCTAGCACCCTTCCCATTATCCGGTATTTCATTGACATATTAGTATAGCAATGAAATGATAATCCATCTTTGAAAGCTAAAATCAAGGTTCCCTATCTGATCCACCCTATCTCCACCACCTTTAAAGTCTGTGGACATCCGGCATTGACCATCTGATTTCCCAAGATCAACACCATCATGAATGTGTCTTCCACCTCCAATATTGAAATAACCTTCTGGCGCACTTGGGCCTTGACAGTCACTCATGAGGCATGTGAATATACCGAACAGAAATTCATTGCCGAGAAAACAGGAGGAGACCCAGTCATACCTTCTCCTAAGCTAGACACCGATCTGGTGATGGCTTGTGATTGATTGGTGGATTGCCTCATAAAGGCATATAACAATCCCAGTGGGTCTTCCCGCAGATTTGGACAGTCCATTTGATCATTCAAACTGCTTCACAGTTCGGATGCAGATTGATATTGCGAGATACAGCAAAATGATCTCCCCGAAGGACACTGGACAAAATGAAGAAAGAGAGGCGAGGTTGCTTGAGAGGTGTCCTCTCGGCCATGAAGGTACAAAGTTGGTTGACATACCCGCCACAGTGCTTGATGCTACCGGCACCATCATTGTGTGGTACCTCCCAGATGCCCTGATGGAAACCACCCAGGTGGGTAATATATTTTGTTACTCAATGGATATGGAATATGAAATGGGAACTCCAGAAGGAAATTCTGGCAGCCTCTGAGTTGCTCAGTCCGAGCCTTGCAAAAAGTGTAAAGGTTGATGGGAGTTGGCAGACTAATCAGGATTGGTTCAAACCAAGCTCGGAAAATGATGGCATATCTCCCGGATGCATCAATCTATCTCCAGCTTGGTTTCAACAGGGGCATGAGGTGGGATCTCATGAGATGGTGGTTTCCGATAGTTACACTGACCAATCCAGTAGAATCTGTCGGACCTGGTGGTATCTGCCTCATTGAAGGGACCATTCTCCGAGAATATTCTCAAAGCCATTGCCAGGCCGGCAGCCATTGCATCAGCCGCACTCAGGGTGATGCATCCTGAGCAGTACTGGGCTGGGATATGAGCCTTTTCGGACAATCAGCCGAAAGCAAGAATCTTCCGAGGATGTCAGAGACCCTCCAGTACTGGGCATCCGTGTTTAACACCCTCACCGTCATTTCCAATCAGCAAACCCCCAATCATCAAGACCACATATCCATTCCTGAATGCTTCGATATTCTCACCACCATGGGTAGTTATTCAAATGCTCACATGAGTATGCCAAGTCTTCAGCTGGAGTTCATGTACGAGCCCGGCTGTATGATCGCGTTTTCAGGAAGGATCATAAGACATGGGGTTCATGAAGTGGAAGGGGATAGAATTGCTTGGGCATGGTACATGAGGGATTCTGTTCATATTTATGCCGGGATTCCCTCATGTGGATGGGCTAGGATGGATCGCGTACATACTCCATCCTGGTAAGGATAGAACAGGCACATAGCTTAGTACCCATGTGATAGTACCTACTGTCAAATACCAATTACCAATGTTCGAGTGCCAATAATCAAGCATCAAACAGGCAAATGTTCGACATTTGATACCCAGACTTCAGTACTCCACTCCTGGAACTCGGCATTCGGCACTAAACACCCAGAAGCCGGTAATCGGTATATGGTGTTTGGTACTCAACACCTGGACATCGGCACCTGGAGCTTGGTATTTGGTACTCAGTACAGTGATTTGTCCAATTTACAAAATGTGTATTTCGGGTTTCAGTACTCAGCACTCGGTACTTGAGGCCCGGAACTCAGAGCTCAGTAGTCAATGCCCGGCACTCGGCATTCAGCACCCGGATCACACACCTGGAAGTCAGTACTCAACACCCAGAACCCAGAACCCGGAGCTCGGTACTCGGTACTCGGTACTGTTCGGTGGTCAGTACTCGACACCCAGACCTTGATGCCCGGTACCCGGAACTTGATACACAGAACTTGATACCCAGACGTTGATACTCGGCATTCGGTATTCGGTATTCGGTGTTTGGTGTTCAGTGTTTGGTACTCGACACCCAGACCTTAGTTATGTTAGTTCCTAACCTTGGTGCTCAATGCCCGGTACCCAGAATGTGATACCCGGAACTCGACATTGAGTCAAAGATCTGTACAACATACGTCTAAGGGCATGAACATTTGATACACTAACATTTAATAGGGATCATCCCCTCTGGCTCTCTTCAACCGGGCTAGGGTGTCAGTGTACATATCAATCTCCACCATCTTATCATGGATGCCCTCCTGATGGTCCTGAATCAACGACACCAGGTGTTCCCTAATCCACTTCAGTCCCACCAGTGATGGAGCCGGGGTGCTGTCCAGCTGCTCCGGAAGAATGAAACCATTGTCCTCAACACCGCTCTAGATCGGATTAGTGATCTATCAAGGATGTTGGGTATAATGCTTACTAGCCAATGCTGGTAGTGAAAGTGACAGGAATCTATTACCCGATCCCATTGCCATGGTTGGTTAGGGATTGTAGTGTCCCCCATCCACCATGGAGTATCATAGGAGGATATGATCCAGGAGGGTTCTCCATGATCCCGGACCAGACGAAACTCGGATAGGTGGGATGAAAAGATGTGGTCTGGAACCGCGTTCCATGTGAGCTGAGGAAACAAGTGAAGAATATGAGCGATTGGGGGTCGCATAACCGAAATTATGTTCCTTGCAGCTGAGTACTGCAGAATCAGTGTCACAAAAGTCTGTTGGCAATCTCAGCATATTGCCAACCACAGTCATCTGTCTGATGGCTTACAGTGATCTCCCATTGGATTCCGGCTTTAAAGTACATTATCCAAGCCGAAGGAACATTGTTCTCAGCAGCCTCCGTCTGATATTGACTGATACAGGCTTGAACGCATGATGCAGTCATTGCCAATGTAACTGCAATATCTGCAAGACTCATTGTGGGGGGTTTATATTCATTGCCGGAATCCTCAGTGGCAGAAGTAGATGCAGGAGGTGCAAAAGTGGATTCAGGAGGTGAATTTAAATCAGACATGGGCAATGAAGGAGTAGGATGCTAGCAATGATAATGACGGTTTTTTCAGATGGGATCCACTGATGGATTGATAAAATAATTCAAACTCCGACATGGGCTGACCCGGCCCCTTGCCGAGACTCAATTGTTGGGATCGAATCATATATCAGCAGAACATATTCATAATTCATTCATCTCGGGCATCTATTAACATGCTCTGCAGGTCTTGAAACACTGCCTGAGCATCCTGTGCCAGTAATGAATACATTTGGGATTGCCTTCCAGAGTAGCAAGCATGACCCGGAAGGCATTTCACCAATGATTCCCTCATCCGGTCGCCCCATTGCGTTGATTTCCACAAGAAGAAATTACACATCCAATCCATCTCCAATTCCACCAACATCAGTTCTTCCTTCCATTGATCCTGTAGTGCCTTTGCCCGAATCCAATGAACTCGGTAAACTTCACACGGGTCCGGTCAGATTGCAGGCATTTGTCAAGCAAGCTGGAACTCACATTCCTCATTCCACGAGTGATCCGGACCCCCAAATCTACTTTGATAGACCAGAACCAAGCGAGAGACTCATTTCACTGACCTCGGGCATTATGATCGCCAATATATATGCTGGCATGGAGGGACACCGCCTGCTGCACTGATGTCACCTGGGAGCAAGCTCGGGTTTTCAATGCTTGAGATTTGGCTTGCCTGACTGTTGTTCGGAAGAGTATTGCCTTGTTGCACAAGTGAATTCAGAGGTTGTGAAGGGCATCATTGGCCTGTCCTTCACGAAGCGACAACTCCAGCGGAATCAGATCCTCTGCCATACAACATTTGGATTGATCTACCCCGAGGTTTGATGGCAATGGGATGACAGTGAGCTCGGGGGAGTTTGTCCATGTATTGGACTTCCCAATGAAATCCTCTGGGTCATCATCGAGATCATCGAGAATGTCTATATTCAAATCATCAGGGTCGTCATCTGCATCAAATCCCTCTCCCAGATGCGTCAGAGCAGTCTGAGTGAATGCATCTATCTGGCCTTGTAGACGATCGCGTTGCCGGGCGATGTCTAATCTCTGAGTCTCGGTAGTTCTTTTTCCTATTCTTCAGACCTCAATGTGCAATGCAATTTGGGCCTCTTCAATTGCCAGGCCCATTGATATCCATGTTGCCACAGATCTGCGAGAGGGTGCTGCATGACAGGCATTACCCTCCTGCAGCAGTCTAAGCTCTATCTCCATTTTGCTCGGTGCTGGGTTCAAAATGAATTCAGACTTCGATCGAGACAGAGTGATCTCACCCTTCTTGATATTAATCTCATATATATCCATCGCACCTGGATCTTGTATTCTGTTGGACTGAGCGATCCTCTCACTGGCTAACCAGTCTGTCTTTAAGTTGGCCGGTGCGGCTTCGTCGAGTCTGTCAAAAGCCTTTCCACTTTCGGCAATGCCATTCTTCGCCTGCTTGTATTTCCTGGCAAAGGGTCCTCTTCATGCAGATCATCTTGCAAAAGTTGGAATCATTCATCTGGAAATCAAGACATTCTTTCCGATGCGGGGAAGACATTCCCCAAGCAGCAGGAGAAATCAGGTTGAGATGTGCCCATAGGGTCTCCATGATCTCTCCATCAATGCAACCAATGCCTTCAATGAAATTCGACGCATATCTGACATAGCAGCTATCCTGATGTTCATGGATGTGCCACAGCCCGATTCTGGGAATGACAGTCAATTCTGGAACCATTGTCAGAAATTGGCCTCGATCCACCCGAACACGCAAGTGCTTGTTGTATTGACAGTTGATGTCATAGAAGGTGACAGCCCTTGTAATCCCATCCATGTTGTGCTGGGCAGCCTCACAAAGTGCGTAGTCCATGTTCATTTGTCTGCAAACGATGCATGGTCAACTTGGGAATGTTGAACAGCATGTCCGGCTTGCCTTTCACCTTTCTGGAAATCTACCATCGAGTGAGGGACAAAGCAACCGTGTCGGGCACAGGCTACTCCCCCGATGCTGGTGGACTCCAGCTTGTGCCGAGCTGCATTTGCTTGATTGACAGCCCGATGATTGTTGCAGCTCGATTTTTCCAGTGTCAGCAGCCTCTTCAAGATGCTTTTGATACCTTTCCTTTCCCACCATAAACCCCAACCCATTGGAGAGCCATACTTCATCATATGGCTTGATGGGATGCAGGTGTTCGGCTTTGAAATTTCCGTCCATCACAAATGACCGGGTGTATTTCCAGCTTGGAGTTTTTAATATCGCCGATGTAGATTCGGTAACGAAAGAGACTCACTCATCAAGTGATTCATCCCCTGACAAGGATATGTTAATCCCTGGCTGAGGACATGCCAGGCAGAATAATGCAAGATCTCCGGCATTCGGGTTGTCGGAACTATGCCCGAAGCCATGCCATTTCATAGACTTTAACTGCCTCCACTGTCAAGCGACTCTCATAAGCTCTCTGTATTGGTCCCTGCAACGTGCTTTGTCAATATAATGTGCTTCAGATGATGTAGATATGGTATTACTGGAACGAGGTGGGGAAACACGCTCGAGGTCATTCGCCGAAGCTTGCTGTAATAGTTCATCGCTGAGGTGCCGCATTTGAGGTTGTCCAACATGAAAATCATCTAGCACTCTGAAGGTGAACACGGTCTTCGGCTTGTTAAATGATGCAGGGAAAAAGCCATGTCGAAACATTTGAATGTCTGGACTCATGGCATCGGGACAATCACAGCATCGAACCTCAAGGCGATGGACTCCTGACTTGTCAATGATGACCATTGTATTTTCCTTGGGCTGGAACTCGGGTCCCGACACAGATGGTAAATCTTCAGGTTCAAAGTGGTCTTCTTGTTCATCCTTCGTCAAACAAATCCCACCTATCCGTGACTACCGGACATAGCTTGCCATCATGACCAAGGTATATGACGAGTCCAACATGAGCCAGACAACTTTGCTCGAAGAATTGACCATTCTATTGACTGATCCAGTGGAAAGGATTGCAACGATGTTGACTCCGGCAACAGCCTGTGCAATAGAGAGGCTCCCCAAGACAATCTTGACATTTGAAGACCCCATCCTGATCGCAGATGACGCATCTCCTATCTTCTGGTGGAGCTTCTCGATCCAGGAGGTGATGGAGATATGATTCCTGCCTTGGCAGCCATTGCCTGAGGTAGTCATTTTGACTCTGCATTTTTTAATACTTAGCTTTTGTTCGAAAGACATTCCAACATTTTACATGAACTTGCCATTGTTTTTGGGAGTTGCAAGGGCTCAAATGACCCTTGGTCTTGCTCGTAAGTATCTTCAGGAAAGTCTTCCCAAGGAGGTGGGGCCTGAACAGGTTCAAGTGTTGGTGATTCCGGGGGAGAGTTAGGCATGGACCTGTAGGCATGTCGACTCATGCTGGCAAGTGGGACCTTGACCCATGTCTTCCTACCTTTGCTGCCCCTTGCTTCTACTCTGTGGGATTTCTGCAATGGGGTGCAACAACCTATCTTCATTTTATTTTTTAATGTTGCAAGGAAAGCATTAGCTCAGGAAGGTCAAACGAATTGTTATTCCATCATCGTATTATGCAGTTTGGTTGGCTCATTACCAATTCATTTCCATGAATGGCATTGCATCCATTATAGGTAGATTAACCAACTGTTAGGCTTTGATCAAAGTTGAACTCGCGACCATTATTGCTTCCACTTTGCTTATCCTCAGCCCATTCTGCAATCTTATTCACCATGGCAAGATCAGGTCATTCCACTCAGTTGACTTCTAGAAGACACAGAACACATCAACCACAGTCACAGAAGCTCACAGAAAATGAAATTTCAGAGCTGAAGAACTACCTTCCTGAGTGGACTTCTGCAAAAAGGAGCGAGAAACGGGGAGTTTTCAATGCCATAGCTCAAGCTGGCCAGGTTATTTGCTCCTAAGGTCGACCAAGGACAATGGAAAAAGAGGAAGCAGGTGATACATCCTTGTTGTGTTGAAAAACTCGATTTTTCATGTCTGATTCTTCCTCTGCCTCTTAGATGTATGAAACTTGGTTGTTCAACAACAAGAAAAAGAAGGAATGGAAGGACATGATTAAGTATGGGAGGAAATGGACGCCTAGGCAGGTGATCTATCAGCAGAACAGAGAGGAAGTGCTAAAGAGGATCGAGGACGAGTTCGGGGCAAAGCCAGGAGGTCAAGACATGTTCAAGCATTATCAAGCTGTGGTGAAGAAGGTCATGGCCGATTTGTGAGGATGAGTTGGAGAAGGCGAAAGAAACCACCGAAGAATGGTCCAACAACTTTCCTCCTCCTGAGACACAGGCGCAAGTCACCCTAAGAAGGGACCTGTATATATGGAGCACTTTTCGAATGAGATGTGGAGACAATGCGGGATGAGAGCTTCATGAAGACTAAGGACTGGGAGGACATAGAGCGGTTTGGCAGGAGTACGCGCAGGGACAGTTCAGTGAGTGTTCCCACTGTGGAGACGAGAATGATTTCATTGATTGTCGGGATCATAGGTGGTGAGGCACAGGATGGAGGGTGACAGGTGAAGGGAGGGCAAAAAGAATGAAGAAACCAGTGTTTGATCTGGAATTGGACGGGGATGGGATGGTTGCTTCCGGACATCACGGAAACAAAACTGGAGGAGAAGAAGGCCATAGTGAGGGCTTTTCTTACAAAGCACT